CTTAAATTAAGCAGTAACACGGTATTGGCTTATGTTTTGACTTGTCACTCAAAATACAGCTGAATATGCATATTAAGTCATTTCATATCTGCCTTAACAATTCACCCATTGCCATAATTTGATGTATAAAATCATGGTCATACATAAATAGGAACACAATTTTTCTAAAATATTTACAATATGGTACCATCTTGTTCAAAATCAAATTTGCTTTAAATGATGTATCATACGAAGTTTTATATGAACATTAACAGAATGATATCACTTTTATACATGAAACCGAGAATACCAAAGATTTCACTGCATTTCACCGAAATCAAAGAAATTGATACAACACATAGCATGTTTTAACCCGGAGACGTCAAATTGGAGAAGCAAACTTTTTGCCCACCCTGTATGAGGTTATTGTCATGAATACTATATTTCATTTACTATATTATTTTCACATAACTATTGAAAAGTAATTTCATGAATTATCATGAATGTGTGTAAAACAGGCATGTAAGTGTGGAAAAACAATACAAGAACGGTATTGTTTCAAATAGTCTTCACAATAAATATGTGAATAAAATAGCATATATCCATATAATTATGAGTATTTAGACCTGTAACATAATGTGGGGCATTATCCAATAGGTTCGACAATCGACATCCATTCACAAAACCAACATGGTTCATAAATCGGAATCATTCAAAGCAACCATCTGAAGAAACAAGCTTCGATCCCTTTTACTCAGCCATTCATGCCTCAGCTACAATCTATCGGAAAGGTTCCAGTGAAAATGAACTTCGAGTCGATATATTCCGCAGAGGAAAGGTTTCTTTCACAGTTCATTAAAGCAGAATGAAAGAAAGTGAGATGTTTCAAGCGGAATTTATTGAACAATTCTGGTTCAACAACAAAATATTCAAAGTAAATAATATTTTGCAACCAATAATAATATTAGCATGCATGGTAAAGGAGTAGGGATGTGTAGAGAAGCGCTTAGGGCACTTCCGATTGGTTGAACTTCACTTCCTTTTCAAAGTGTTAAAGGTATTTTATTGATAAAGCCAAGCGAATCATCACTGATCCAAGTACCATGCCAATCACTCTTCTCTTATTGGGTTTCCTATGATTGTGAGTTTTGTAAACTTTTGTAGAATTGTAAATTTCCTGATGTGTAATGTTTAGATTATACATAGAGGTTGTCCATTTATGATGAGCTTTGGTAATTCCTCTTATCGATGTTTCGTATGATATACATTGATACATACGAGCCTGCAGGCCATATGAACTTTTCCTATGGCCTGCAGGCTCCTATGTATCTTATCACAAAAATTAAAATTGTGGTACAGAGCCAAAAATTTGTCCAAGATTAAGAGGGAAATGTGCTAAATTCAAATCCGACGTTTTGGTCCATACATGCAAGGGGAAATTGTTACATAAGCCATGGCTCATTTGAAAGACCTCTTTGTGCGTTTTAAGATAAACAAAAAATCAGAATATTGAAAAAATCTGTCATAAGACCCCTTTTCCTGTGGCCTGGCTCATACATAAAAACTCCATTGTTACGCCACCACTGCGAATTATGTAGAAGATTCATAGGTTGGCCTACTCTTAGCAACGGTGTTTATATTGCTGTGTTTTTTCTAAACAGGTGGTGGTGTTATAAGTAATTTAATTTTGCACGTGTGAATTTTGAGAATGAAAGATGGTTGTATTTTTATGGTATGAAGATAGATCATGAGTCAGTTGAAAAGCTCCATATTGCTTGTTATTGTTGGGCTACATGTACTTTAAGTGCCTCGATTTTTTTTCTTTTCAGTCTAATCGTTGCGTTGTTTTATTTCTCCATTATTGGTTTTAAAATCCTATACTCAATTGGTTATCGTTCTTTGTCATGGTCAACGAACTTTTGGTCAATAGCAAACCGAGTCTCATTTATTATAGAGTTTTTTTTATAAAAGTAGTTCAATCATTACAAATCCCTAATAAAGGAATATATCATGTTTCTTGCTCAGTTGAATATAAAATGATTATTATTAATCTTCATAAAAGCATTATATCAATGCAATAATAGGGTTTAATTTTCCTAACTGAACGACTGAACTGTTTAGACAACGACCAAAATCAAACCAGTGAATTAACGACCGTTCCAATACAAATTAACATTCCTCAAATTGATTCAAACATATGGGGCTCTGTTAATTAGGAAGCATTGTCTGTAGGCTGTTCAACTTTATCACTCTTGTTGGTTGTTGGGAGAGTTGGCATTCTGTCCCAGAGGGTTAAGTGAATACAATCAGTAGCACCTGATGCCTATCCTATGATATATAGCATATTCCAAGAAGTTATCTAAATACAAATCAACAAATTGACAATATGGGAATTGTTTTGCATGGCAATGTTCAGTCGATCAATGGGTCAGTGATCTGCGCTTCCTGAAATGCTTCTGTATCGTTATTATGGGCACAATGCGTCGGGATTCATAAAAGTGATTCTATGTTTTGCGTGGGAGATACTAGATATATAAGGACAGTGTATGTTCTGTTCGTATCACATCACCAAGGATAATATCGATTTGAATGTGATCCAATTGTAGGATCTTCAAGAAAGTGATTTAACATCGACCATGCATATACATCGATTGTTCTGTGTTTTATTAAATAAAGAAAGCTGTTATAATGATTGGATTTATCTTATACTCATCAATAACATTCAATTACCCCAACCACGAAAAGATTCAAGTACCCACATCATACATATTGTACTAAAACCTCGCTATTGTTTGAGTACCATTCTTTCCTCAAGTGATTGCTTGCGAACTTGATTAACTCAATGTTACAGCCAGGTCATCTTTCTGTTTATTTATTTTAAATACATGTTATCACTTACAAATATAACCTTGAATATTTAATGTATATATTTTACATGGATTATCATCAACTGGTTGATCATCCGGGGATTTACGACGACCCTGCCAACTGAATGACTGCTAGAGAGCATCCGTAGCAGGGGTTAACTGTCGTATGTATGATTATTATACGCCGAGCGTGAATGAATTTAATATAGAATATGTCATCACTGTTGGACAGACTATACTTCTGGACCTACCCCAACATAATTTTCACTTTTCTTTTATATAAAAACATATGTTGGCCCCATGCATCTTGTACTTCCTAGGGTTTAATCAGTAAATCCAGTATGCTTTAGATTATGTTCCAGCAAATGAAGCGAATAATGAAATAGAATATGGTTTTAGATTGAAATAAATCGAAAAGGTGCGGTATACGGTTCAATATTTAAGGAATAAATAATGATAGGCCATTCAATGTGAAATTCAGCACGGGTTGGACAAAATGTCGTACAAAGCATGAACCGAAGGCGAGTGCATTTGTACTGACATTCTGTCCAACGAGTGTAGAATTAAACCATATTGAATATTTTGAACATTAGCAGCGTGAAAGTAAATCCTATTGATATTAAAGCGAATTCTAGTGAATATTTTTAACATTAGCAGTGTGAAAGTAAATCCCGTTGTTATTAAAGCGAACTCTAGTGAATAGTTTAAACATTAGCATTGTGAAAGTAAATCCTATTGTTATTAAAGCGAATTCTAGTGAATATTTTTAACATTAGCAGTGTGAAAGTAAATCCCGTTGTTATTAAAGCGAACTCTAGTGAATAGTTTAAACATTAGCATTGTGAAAGTAAATCCTATTGTTATTAAAGCGAATTCTAGTGAATATTTCGAACATTAGCAGTGTGAAAATAATTCCTATTGTTATTAAAGCGAATTCTAGTTAGTATTTTAAATATTAGCAGTGTGAAAATAAACACTATATTGGTTATTTGAAATTAAATGTCGTTATTAAAGCGAACTCTCGTGAGTATTTTAAACATTAGCAGTGTGAAGATAACCTCCATTATGGTTATTTTGAAATAAATGCCGTTATTATTCAAAGCGAGCTCTAGTGAGTATTATTAATATTAGGTGTATAAAAACAAACACTAGGTTATTTAAAATTTAATGCAGTTTATTTAAAATTTAATGCACGCAATCGAGTTATAAACTACGAAGATGAAGCTCTGTTTTAAGAAGTGAAGTCGAACGAATGCAAAGGGCATTAATGCAGTTGTTAAAGTGTGAAAACGTTATTGGTTATGCAGAACTATATATATATATTTGAATTTGTGACTATATCAAAGTAAGTGAATTCTTGTAGACACATTTGATAGGAAATTGCTATAAAACTTGGATCTAAAATAATGGTAAACAAAATGAGGTTTTAACTCTTTAAAGTTTGTAGCAAAAGGCCTCGAGTGCTTGTAATGCTTACACATCCTTTTAGAAATTTAGATTTACGACTCGCCAGTTCTAAAGTAGTTAAACTCCTGAAAAGGGTTGTGCATTTTGAACTCAATGCTAAAGGCTGCTCGGATGTTATTGTTAATCAATTGTTATGGTATTCGTGAATCCCGTCTAAGTAAAATGTGTTTTCACAGTTGGTTAACGTAATCATATGTTCAGGTGTCTGCATTTCAACGGGGGTCAGTCACTTAGAACAAAATATATAATTTTTCGCTGGGATTTCGATCCTGGCAAACCCAGCATAGGCAGCATATGAAATCACTTTAATTGAAGCTCACCTTAGATAACACCCTTATATACGCAACAGAATCATTGCAATTATTGGCACTGAACTGCAAAGTGTAAATTAAACTGATGTTTGTGCCTTTTGCCACTGCCATTACTAAACTGATTTTGAAGTTCACAGCAAATATTCATTATTTCATGAACTTTATCTCACTGAATCGTGGTATAAATGGTAGGTTGTTATATATTTCTTGTTGGTACAGTTTTGTAAATGGCAAAGGTAGATTGATCAAACTTGTACGTGTTGTCACAGCTCAATGATTGAGCCATTTGTCTTTGTTGGGTACGTTACCACTCTTTTTATACCGTAATTTCCGTAAACTACTATTTTGTGAATAATTACGTGTCTTCTACTTCCAGGCTACGGTTATCACGATCTATTGCACCGAAGCTGCTAAACCATTGGGACATATTTGGACTCGATAAGCGGCTGGGATAAAGGCATGATCGTATTCCCATTTGTCAATAAAAACGGATATGTAATAATGCTGCAGAGTTCTATTATGGGATTTACCATGGAGAAAGTACAAACAAATGATGTGAAGGAGTCTATGCAAATTGAACTTGGCGAAATCGACATTGAAAATTCTAGATGATTGAGAACAGGCTTAGGAAATTACCATTCTAAATAAGAATAAAATAGCTCTTTGGAAAATTCATCAAGTAATGATAAATAGGATGTATTGTGAAAATCTTATGAAGTTTCTCGTAGCATAGTGCTCTGTTGGAGGAAGCAGGTGTCTTAGGAAACAGTTTAATGAGTATAATTCTGAACGTACCAAACACACATGGCCGACCATTATGGCGTAACAAAAGCAGTATGGAAGAAGGCTCCTTAGACTTTGCAAGGAAAGCATTGGATAACTACTCGAATAGTCCTTGGTTGGAGAATATATCTCTCAATGAAAACTTGACCGCCATTGATCCCAGGAATGGGGAAAATTCAAATTCCACAACACCGGTTTACTTTACAACAAGGAATGTTATCGTCGGTGGTCTGTTAAGCTGTATTCTCCTACTGACACTATTTGGAAATATTTTAGTCATAACAGCGATTGCTAAGTTTAGACGGTTACGAACAGTCACGAATTATTTTGTATGTAGCCTTGCAGTGGCAGATATAACCGTTGCTCTTTTAGTTATGCCACACTCTATTATAAAGGAAATTTACGGTCAGTGGAGTTTCGGATGGATATTTTGCTATTTTTGGATATCGTGTGACGTCATGTGTTGCACGGCATCCATTTTACATTTATGCGTCATAAGTCTTGACAGATACTTTGCAATCACCGACCCTCTGAAATATTCTGTACGTATGTCAAGAAAAAGAGCCTGTGTGTTTATAACGATCGTATGGGTTTGCAGTGTCACAATATCATTCATGCCAATTTTTCTCGGATGGTTCTCCGATCACAGTGTGAACCTCTATACTGACAATCCTGTATGTATGCTCAATGTCAACAGGGTCTATGCAGTTATATCATCGATGACCTCGTTCTATGTGCCTTTAATAATTATGATTTTCGCTTATATAACAATATTTCGTATTGCCATGAGACAGGCTCGTGAAATTAGGAAACTCGAAAACTCGTTTAGCAGTCAGAAGAGTATGTACGATTCAACAGGTACGAGTTTTTACGAGGCTAAGAAGCATAAAAAACGATCGAGAAAGATACGAAGGGACTCAAAGGCAATCAAGACATTGGGCATACTTATGGGCTTATTTTGCTTTTGTTGGCTTCCATTTTTCCTAATGTACATTATCATGCCATTTTGCCCTTCGTGTTATCTCCCACCGGCAGCGGAATCATTTATTACATGGCTAGGATACGTGAATAGTTGTTTCAATCCGTGCGTGTATGCATTTTTACAGAGGGATTATAGACTAGCGTATAAAAAGCTTCTACGTTTTTGTGTCTGCCAATGTTGCAAAACAGTATGTTCGAAGTATGGCCCACATAAACTTAAACCAACGAAAGGATATAAGACATGTACAACAAACGGTTGCGTTAATGGCCATCGGAGGGGATCAGCCATGCCTTCGGGTCTATTGGAGTACGTTCTCGACAGCAACAGAGCATCAGTTGTTTCAGCCATGTATACACAAAAGGACGAAGTGGTTAACTTTTTAGAAAACTCCACTTCAACAAATTCTGGTACATCAGAAGATGCCAAAAAGCATATGATCGTAAGGCTTAAGACTTGACCTAAATCAATGCCAAATATAGGTCAAATGATACGATAGTGTTATGTTTTATTTACGTTGAATTCGATTAAGATGATTTTTAGTATTTATTTTAGATACTGGTGTGGTTATATTAGCAGATGAGTGCATACTTATCATACACTCAAATAGTGTCTAAATAACGCAGTGTGATCACATAGGGCATGTAATTACATGTTTATTCATGTAATTTAAAAACGTCTTTTCATGTTGACGTGTGGAGACCAACGTCTCAAATAATGTGATAATAAGCATGGCACGAGGGCGTTCAAAAACTACCTACATAAAATTCATTTATCATTTTCATCTTTATGGTCCTTTAATTCCTTAAACATAATTAATCTTGGGTTAATATTGGTCAAAATAAGAAATGTTAAATGTAGGGCTGGCCAAGAAAGGCTTAATTTTTCCTAAACTCACCCACGTTAAACTGGTCTATAATATACTCTGGAAAGATAACTCGATTGGGGTTAATCATCTGAAGTATTTACAGTGCATCTTGAACCAGCAGATTTTGTCAAAATGAACGAAAACCAGACGTATTACATGTATTATTAAGAAATCTGAATTGACCGAGGTCAATGCTAGAAAAGATTATGCAAAATTAAACATTTGAGTAAAATTAACAACGTAAACATTTTCACGTAGTCAAGCAAACCTTCCAATGGTATATTATAATTTCTAGATATAAGGTTTCCTTAGAGAGGAATGTGATGTGGGTCTAATTGAGCGACAATTTCAGGCCAGCCCTTTAGTAGATTGGAACTTTTAAACGTCTTTGTATCTTATGATATTTAATTACTGTCCATTAAATGGCAATTTGAAGTATCTCTTCTAATAACTGATATTGGAATTTGATACAGGAGATTTATCAAACCACACTTCATTAGTGTTGTAAGTAATATTAATATACACCGCTGTTCAGCTGTTAGAGATATTGAAGATGTCCTTATGCAACCGAAACGCTATCGTTATAGCTATCGTTTCCGAAACCCATTGTGATTTCCGAAGACCACTTTGTCTTTCACAGATTAACAGTAGTGTATTGTATATGAAAGAACACCATTGTATAGAATATGACAAAAATATAAGAAACAATAATCTTTGTAAAATTGAGTTCGCAGTCGCATTCAACACATTGGATTCAGTAACAGCGCATAAACGTCGGCTTATTCCGATACTGGTTGAATAATTGGGTATTTGGGTATTTTGGCTAATCATTCTGTAGTTTAAATTTGGTATTGTAACACCTTATATAAATCTGTAAAACGTTGGCATCACGATTCATTATTTTCCTTATGTCATTTTATATCAACGTGTATCTGTACATGATGTTATATAACATTAATCACATGTGTTTTTCTTATGTAAAAACATAGCATAATGAACCAAACATTAAAGTAAGTACAGGGTGGGTCAACAAAACTGAGAGGTCTGGTTCTTTATCCAATTGCATCTATTCATTTACTTCAAAATATAAACAAATGTGAGGGATAAATGAGCATTGTGTAAAACAGATCTCATCATTTTTTAACATTTTTAACAAATCTGTGTGGATTTCAAAATGTGCGATCAATTCATTGAATTGCGAACAACTGATTTCGAAAAACCAAATGTTGTACTTTTATGAAAAATTTATTCATATTTCATTGATACGTACATTGTATACACCAGTATTTACATTTGTATCACCAGTTGAAGAATGTGATTTTTAAGATTTGATTAAGAAGACTTATACTTTATTTTACACTTGATTTAAGGCACATACATCTTAATTTCTAAAATATGTCTGGCAATTGAGATAAAAGCCATTTTCAGATTTTGTCTTGAAACAATTTTCACATCCTATGCCTTCATGTATGTATTTATGTTCCATAAGTGGTGTCTCTGTAAAATCGCAGTTGTCTCACGAATAGACTGTTTTCTCACCCTGTATGTACTTATTCTTCCAAATTGATGTTATGCATATGAGACAAGTCATGATTCGTGATACTAAATAGACTATATAGATATGGGCGAAGATAAGATTAGGATATAAAAATACAATGTGGGTTCAAATTGAAGGACTGATACTACTAATGGTTTTCTGTGATAGATCATTTGAAGATGCAAATGCTTTTGTCATGTGTATGACACATGCGCGTGACTGGGTCCAATACATTAATATGTTTTAATGGACATCGTTACAGGCCGTTTAGACATTCATTATCCAGCAACAAAAAAGCAACCTTTAATTTCGAAAATGTTTCAGTGTGTACGTAGTCTTACCTATTTTGAAATATTTTATTCAAGTGTTTTACTTCATTCTATGTTTTTCAAGTTTTTAGGATATTTCATTTATTATCACTCAGAGTCTCATAATTTGCCAAAACGTTGTCCCTCTTCGCATTGGAGTCTTTATAGATGAATGTTTGGTAAACGCTCACATTTATAGATGCATCATGGTCAAATGAAATTTGACATATTTTGTAAGTAGTTAGTAATGATACCAATGTTATATGTAATTATGACAGTGTTCCATGAAATGATGTCAATGTTACATGCAATGATGCCAATGTTACATGCAATAATGCCAATGTAGCATGTACTGATGTCATTCTTATATGTAAGGATGCCAATGTTACATGTACATATGTCAATGTTACATGTAATGATGCCAATGTTACATGTACTGATGTCATTCTTATATGTAATGATGCCAATGTTACATGTACATATGCCAATGTTACATGTATCGATGCCAATGTTACATGTAATGATGCCAATATTACATAGTTTTGTATAACAAGCATAATGATTATATGTCATGTTATCACTAAATCTCTTAAACGAAGTTCATCTTCTCTTAATTAGTAATCGTTACACCATGGCATCATAAATCTAGTCAGTGGTCTTGAAAGCTTGCCTGTTATATCCAGAACTGAACTGGATTCTTCTAATCATGCCCCAAACACAGTGTATTGGGATAAAGCACAGACACCCATATTAGTCCGTGTCATACCAAAATGCAGAATGCTTTATCTGGAATATGCAGCACTGATATATTCCATATACAAATGTACATATATTTATCTGGTATATGGAACTCTGATTTTGTGTCATTTATGCCACATGAAAAAGGTGTGCCACACTATGAAATAACGTTTATTTTGTGGATGCCACAAGGCATGCATTTGATTTGTTAGGCCACATTGGTGTGACATATGCCACAAGCATTTCAGTTGTCACATCTCACATCTGTATAATTATAAATCTCAAGTCTTTCTATAAAATAAAGCTAAATATATAGATCATTCTGTAGATTAGTTGTACCAATGTATCTTGTAATGATAAAGATGCGCACGCATGTTATGAATGTTTGAATCCCGAGTAAACGTGTTATTATTTTATACTGTCACATATGAGGAATAATATATATATTTACTTGATGTACATGTATAGTGAGGACGACAAACGAGGCACGCCTTCATGGTATACGTGTGTAGAAGCCATAGTATTTCTTCTGGCCGTGTGTTCCACCTAAGACTAACATAAAAGTTTAGAGGATGTTAGACTCAAGTTCCACTTATTGCCTGGCTATTCCAGAATTACTTTAACAATCCATTGGCTCTCTGAATTATTTAATGATCACATTTCGTAATTTAAGCTATTTTGAGCAACACCAACGCCCAACTGTATTTTCTGAAAGATAAGCAATTATTAACCTTTCTATAGCAATTTCTACTGCTCTAGATACAGCCCATCCTCCGATCACAGGGCTTCAAAATCCAGAATATATTCTTTCTCTTTACCCCCTGCGATAAGCAGTTAGCCTTTCCCCGATTAAGAACTCGCAATCTGATTGGCTGTCGCAACACTGCGACAGAAATCATGTATAAGTCATTGCGCATAATAAGATCACGTGATTCAGTTTAATCGGGCGCTTCCAAATTGGTTATAGCAGGGGGAAGAAGGAGGTACGCATTCTGGATACCTGCTTAGGAGGATGGATACAGCCAAATTGCGTCTTTTTGATAAGTGTAGAGAATCACAGACATTTATCTCACTATGACTTAAAAACGTTCCCTAAAAAGATCACACATGTTTGAAAATTCACCTATTATCACCCACTTAATGTGCCACACTGTTTTCTACTTTGCAAATTTTTTCATCAATTTTGAAAAATTAGAAAAAACAGATTTCTCTGCTCCGATTTCTGGTTCATTTTGTCTACAATAAAATAATGTGACGTAATCATTGGGTTGGAAAAACGTTTTGAAATGGATTATTGTTAATATTCCTCCAGATTAATATATATGGGACTAAAATGACATAATAATAGTAAATAGCTACTTATGTTATCGCTGTAATTAAACAGTCAATTAAATGAAACAACATGAAAAACCTGGCCTCATCTACATTTTTTCCGATTGGTGTACATGTTTATATTTCAAAATGTTGAATTAATTGCATCAATGATCTAAATCAAAAATAATGAGAACTGAGTATGAATCTGGAGTCACGTCTTGGCAATACTAGGACATCACTGTTGCTTGGAATGTTATGGCTTTCACATACGTACTGGGTTTGGATCGAGTGTAAATCAAGGAATGAGGAATCTCTTGTCAGTCAATATAGATATATAAAACAGAATAAATATATATATATATATATATACAAATTGACAGATGACATTCTACTTGTATATTAATTTATTAATCGATGTGTGGGGAATTTGCCAAAATGTCAAGTTATGATATACAGTATATCAATTAGCGAATTGCTGGAAAACTTTTAGATTTGTTGCTATAAATGGAGAATGGCACCCAACTAATATACTTTAAGCTGTATAATCAGCATGCAGTTTCCTGGATTGTTGTGGTTGGGGGCAAAACACCATTGGATCATTACTTCGATTGTTCTTTTATTAAACATTGACATGTTTTTCTAGACAACTTCTTTCTAGACAACATCTTGATCAATCGTATCATATTAGAGACGTTAAGCTACACTTTTTAAAGGCCCCGTGCAAAATTTAAAAAATATGTTTTTCATTGCTATTTTTATGACTAAAAAAGTTTTAATGATATTTTCCTAAAATATTGTCAGCTTTTTATTTCCCAGATATATACCTTTCCCGTCATTTTTTCAAACAAATGTACAAATACAGTACAAAACACACCATCATAGATAAGGAATTAACAAAGGACACACAATTTCATTAATAAAACGTCATATACAATGACAATGTGCCACTTAAATGTTTTAACACATTAAAAACAGTTTGCACCCTGTGACATCATCGTGACATCCCCATATACATGTATATAATATATAAGACTTTTATATACTGGGAGGTTTTTGATATGGAGTTCATCCAGGGGGACATAAATATCTACCTGAGGGACCGTAAGGACCAAAGGTAGATATGCAAACCTCCCGAGGGATAAACCTCATTTCAAAACTGATTGTACATACTTGCTTTATCCTAAACTGAGGAGAGTTTTTCACATCAATATTCCCAAAACACGCCAGTTGGGGCTGTTTGGTGGCGAATTTGTTGGCGAAATAGATTTTTCGGATAAATTGTCCGCCATGTTTATTTTCGTTTGTTTTTAAACATTTAAATATGTCAATCTATTCTAAATAACTCCAAAATAAAAAATATTGATTGTCTATAACTAGGTTGAAAAGGACTATATATATATTAGTTTCAACTATCACTGTATCATCGGTTTCTGTGAGAACTAAAATTTTAGACACAATTTGCATAATTATGTTTAGCGTCTTTTTGCAATTATGATGCCTAAATCACCTTTTCTCTGAACCACTTTCATGCATGAATTTTTTCCACAAACTGTGCATCGGTGTACATAATCGCTTATCAAAAGATACTTGTGACCTCTAAACTTTAGTTTTAAATTAATTCACGATTTTTGAACAAAAAGTCCTCCAAAAACCACATTTTTAAAATGAAAAAAGGTTTCACATATAACATTTGAATAACATCGGATAAGACGTCAATATTTAGCCAAAGTGAGTTTAACTTTATATGGGGTAGGATTTCTGTCCATTCATAAATGATTTTTCCAGGGAACAGAGTACATTGGTATCTAGAGGACAACAACTCTACAATGTTCAGATACACGTTATTTTAAAAACGTGTAACTTAAACTTCCTCATACATTTTACTCTTCACCCATATAACAACTCCAGGGTCGGCTGTATTTCAAATACATTGAATTGGAAATTTTGCATGGTGCTGATGCAAAAGTTAAATAATATGAATTTGTAATATAGATTTATTATAGTAGAATGAATCATATTAAACCTAATTGTATTTTGTAAATGTTAGCCTGATAAATGAATTTGAAGAGGGCCCAACAGCTATATACAGTAGTATTGGAATTTCTCATAGAAGTCAATTATAAGCCAATGTTGTATATGGATTAATTACTTCAGCACTAGTGATCTTTTATACTATTATAAATCCTGCAAGATGATTTGTGAGAACTTTCATTTGTTTGATTGACTTTTGTGTTCACAATACAGGGTGTCATGGCGTAGAATAATGGAAATAACGTCACAACGCATGCGCGTAAATCGACATTTCATGGTCCAAAGATTTCAATGGAGAGCAGTCTTCATCAAAATTTAAAATCTTAATAACTTTTTAGCAAATAATTTATTTTCTTAGGATTCAACGGATCCTTGTTAGACCCAACGAAGTGTTCATTTTGATATATAAAATAGCAAAATCCATCCACAGATCTTTCGGCCTTTTAATGATTTAATTTTCGGGATATTTTGCTAAAATCCCCCATTGGCCGCCATTATAGACTTTGAAAAAACCCAAATCCTCATCATTTCATATCATTCGTTAAGTGATCTAAACAACTCCAATCGCTTAGGATTCAACGGATTCTAAGAGATCAAAGCTAATACAATATGTTGACAACCCCCGTTACAATATTTGCCGCATAATCTTTCGGCCTTTTAGGTTATAAATTTGTCAATATTTTGATTTTCGACCATTAATGACGTACTTGGATCCAAGATTCATTGTCCCGGGATTCATGACGCTATTTCCATTATTCTACGCCATGGTTAACACATTCGTCACACTTGACAATCCTACGGGCCCATGGGAACAATTTTTGAAACACCGTGATAGGACATTTAAACCTAGTATTCATTGTCTTAGGTTGTGTATAGTGCCCCTGGCTATCACGCGGTAGTATCTCTTCGGGACGTATCGAAACCACTCCGTCCCGAAAAACCGTTAATTTGAATTTAAAACCTACCCCAGTGTTTGAAAATCAAGGATTGTGAGTCTCACACTTCACCGTTTTTCTTCAAACTTGTTCCGTACAAAGCCTCACAGAAATACCTTTCAGTCGATACATTGTTTTCGTGTACAAAGTACCTCGTTTTAGCGGCGTTTTGGTCCCCAGCTGTGAGATAAAGCAAATTTTCATAACTTTCAACTGTAAGTCAAGTTATCTCGCCAGTCTTTTACCCATTCTCGCCCATAATTTCAGAATGGACTCCCATTACAACCTTCCATCGCTACGTCTTGATTTTTGGACATCAAACGCAGCAGTTTCTAAATCATCCACACATCTCTTCAAATTTGACCAATACGTCCCGTCATCTTCCACTACGCCCCGCCGAGTATATCACTATACACGTAGAGTTGCATTCTAAAACAATTTGTCCATCGATGTGTCCGTTTGTAGGTTGCCATTGTCGATTCTAAATACCAATCGGATTGTGTTTTAAGATTTACCCATTCTTGTCCATTTACAATATACCTATAATAGGGTGGTCCAAAATCTCCCTAAAATTTAGATTTCCCGATATTGCAATATAAAGATTTTAATTACTGAACAATTGAAAATATTTTTAAGAAACGTTTAAAGTGCCCTATCCTTGAAAAAATGTTAAAATGCGAAAGGATGGGTGATGTCAATTATATTATTTTCAGCATAACGTTAGAAACATGTATCATTTTATATGGTACACGTTTCATAATGTAATCCAATGGAATCATACAGAAGAAAGGTTGACACACAACAGTTAAAATCTTTATATTACATTATCTGACCAAGTCAGTAGATGTTGTTTATATACCAATTAGTGTTGTATGATGATGCATTCTTTATATGAATCTAGAAACGTTTTTGTGCCAATATTGCTCAATTTTATAACATCTCCGTTATTTTAAATTAAGCGTGGCAAAGTTTCCCGATGGATTTAGCTAAAAAAAGTGGTGCCTGTAGGGTTATTGAAAATCATACATGATGAAGAAAAAATACATATTCCTGAAATACAACAGTTTAATTTTGAGTTATAAACCATTTATGAAAACGGCATATTTGTCAAAATTACCAAAACTTCCTTGGATGTCATACAGTACATTTACACTGTGGCATGATGATGAACTTAGAAAATATGTATAGTCATGACAAAATGTTCTTTGTGATATAATATTGTATATATATCATTCTGATACGTATTACATGTTTATGTTTAGTGCATAAAATTCATAGCCAGATCAATAATAGTATAGTTTCCATATAGCTTTTGAAATCTCGCTAAATCTCGTTTTTCGTGAGATTTTAAGAGACTTGCATATTAGACCTCTAATGACTTACATTACCTTCTTAATTTTAAATGGTATATTTGAATTCAGTGGAATGTTTTCTCCTAAAATAGCTTTGATTTACACAGTTATGTAATTTGAATAATTTTCTATGACAATTTAAAAAAAGTTGGGCCAAATGTCCATAGATGCAATGCTAAAATTCTTTAAAACCGTGGATTATTTGTATGTCAATCAACATTAGCATGTTTAATCACAACATGTTCATAGTACCCCGGACAGGTTGTATGATGCAGTCATTTTTTTACTCTATATTTGCAATAGAACAACCATTCTTATTGAAATTTTCACATTTTATTCTGGAGACAATTTCCAACATGGAAAAAAATATTTTAAAGAAATTCCTAATTTTATGATTTTGATAGGCTTTATTCAAAAACACTCCACTGTCAATAAAATACAGGTTTTTGCACACAATTGAACTTTTAACGTCATTTCAAAGATTGTCTACCAATTGAATTATTGACAGCCTAAAGTCTTTCCAGATGTATTTGATACCATATTAATTATGGCTGATCATTGTTTTTCATTTTTGTCATATTCAATAGGCCTTATATTATGACAGTGCATTAGGCCAATGAAAAACTTGTCACTCTGGGTCACGTTTTCTCTGAAAACGCAAATTTTTCTCTACTGGGTTTTTCCGCCACCGTCACTTAGCATGCAAGCCCGTGGCACGTAAATTGTACCATGCTTTTAAAATGTCAGGTCCCCCTGACAATTTCATGATGAAATTTGACACAGCTAGTATTAACATCTCTGAAGGATCTAATGCCAAGATTACTTCAAATAGGAGATTCATAATGTTTTACTTCATTTTGGACAGTATTGAACAGTGACCGGGTTGAACTTATGTCCGTGGACAAAAGATTGACCTCCTCTATCTGGGCTCAATCTAGGGAACGCTTCACAAAACGAGACCCAGAGCACCAAGTTTTTATTGACCTAATGCACTGTAATAATATTAAATATAACTTAAGTGAATAACAATAATCAGCAATAATTATTAATATGGTAACAGATATATCTTGAAACACTTTAGGCAGCTGGAAATTCAATAGCCAGACAATATTTGAAATGAACAAAATGTTTTAGAACACAACTCCACGTTTGTAGTCATAGACTCGGCGGGGCGTAGTGGAAGGTGACGGGACGTATTAGTCAAATTTTAAGAGATGTGTGGATGATTTAGAAACTGCTGCGTTTGATGCCCAAAAATCAAAACGTAGTGATGGAAGGTTGTAATGGGAGTCCATTCTGAAATTATGAGCGAGAATGGGTAAAAGACTGGCGAGATAACTTGACTTACAGTTGAAAGTTATGAAAATTTGCTTTATCTCACAGCTGGGGACCAAAACGCCGCTAAAGCGAGGTACTTTGTACACGAAAACAATGTATCGACTGAAAGGTATTTCTGTGAAGCTTTGTACGGAACAAGTTTGAAGAAAAACGGTGAAGTGTGAGACTCACAATCCTTGATTTTCAAACACTGGGGTAGGTTTTAAATTCAAATTAACGGTTTTTCGGGACGGAGTGGTTTCGATACGTCCCGAAGAGATACTACCGCGTGGCTATATGGTCCAGGGACCAAAATCCCTTGTGAAAATGGTCCGGGGACATTATTCTGGGGGAACCTAAATTACTTCTACACCGGTTATGAATCTGAAGGTATTTGTAATATATTTACAGGTTATTCGCCATTTAAGGTATTGAGTTGCTTGTCACTGTACATGGTCCATAATACCAATAATGATATCCTCTGCATTTCATTCAGTTAAGGCGAATACCGTGCATCTTTCACAAGTGACATTCCACGAAATATCATCTGTGAAAATCTGTGAATATTTGTAAAAACGTTATCACCCTCGATTTTCTGTGGAAACCCGTAACACCATATGATGATGTCCGTAAGGATAACTTTAACAATTTATTTCTCAAAAACATGCGCAAAGTAAAAATTGAAATCGTGGAAATGGCTGGTGAAATGGCGTGTATTGAAAGCCCATGTTTCAGTTTGAGATCAGTTCAACATCATCACTTCAAAACTACGTTAATATTACCACAATTCAGGTTTATATCCAATAATTGGCCTGATCTTTTCTGGTGAGATTTTTACGTTGGTTCAGACATGAGTGTTTTCATTTCTCCGAAATTGACTGACGAAAGAAAGACAAAAAGACAAGTGGGTGATAATTGGTGATTCGAAAACGAAAATAATTATCACCTATTTGTAAATTATAATCCAAACGATGAACCTATTCGCATGCTTATATGCTTATCTAGGTGGAATGCATCAAAGCTCTAAAAACTACAAATTAGAATTAGAGCTTATATGTATTTATGAACGACACTGAAATGATGATTTAAAATTTTTCATAGTTTTCTTATTAAAGCAGATGCTTCGAGGATTTCGGTCCGCTAGTTTCTCAATTATATTATGTATTAATAAAAAAATAGCTAAGGATTCTTTAAATACTGCACTTGATTGGTTTAACTGGGAAACAGCAACTCCACGAAGTAGCAAAGCCTACCGAGCTCCTTTGTAGCTAGGTATCAGCATATAAAATTAGAACCAAATCTTTCCACTGTTATTTGAGTACTTAATGGTGCTTATTTTTAAAGGAGAACGTAGGTTATCAGACAATTCTAACTTGAATATTGAATATTTTCTGATCATGAACATGTGTGTATCTTTTAGACCCATCTGTCATCTTCAAGAAAAGTGGATATAATGATTATTTAGTTAATCAGACCTAAGTGATATTAAAGGGACAATGGACCAATCAACATACTTTTTCAAATATGTTGACCTAATTTGCACCAAAAATGCAACCTTTTATTATATTGTTGCATGCATATTTAGAATGTGTTTGAGCCTAAAATGAAAGGTTGATTGCTCCAGGGACTTTGGATGAATTTGGATGACCAAAATGTTCTGAAACCAATGGATAGCATGAGCTTTTTCAATGGAGAAATAACATAGGGAACACGTCAAACCCGTCAACTAGTATTTGAGTCATCGCCCAGACAGACGAACGAACGTACGTACAAATGAACGGACGAACGACTTCTCTATATCTCCTCGAACTTTGTTCGGTGGGGTAATATGGTAATTACAATTCATTACACAGTTTCTGACACAAAAAGCTGCAATGATTAATGGTGTAAACATTATACGATTGATATAAAAATAAATGCCATCAAAGCAAATATTTGGAATTATGTAAGGTCATTTGACATGTGGGCTGGAACGTTTTAAATGTAGTGCGATACATTTTCTAATTACTACAATCCCTCAACCTAGATATAATATGAAACTTAAAAACCGAAGTCTAATATCGTGATAGCTTTATGTCTTGCATCGCTATCCATTTCTGAAATAAGATACTTTTTGCGCTGACTTGGTTTTTATCAGAATTATTCAAGATCACACGGCATCAAGTTTCACTCGACCTATTTTACATTGCCTTATCTACACACTGTTATCAGTGTTGTCCTTTGAAAGACCCCAGAGGTGGTAACATAATATTATTTTTGTGGGCGGTGTTCGGCGGTCGGCGTTCGGCTTCTGTAACAAATTCTTGCAACTTCTATAACATCATTTTTGCCAATAACCGTTACCATGAGACGATTCGCAAGTGTTCACATAGACTTGAAATTTTAATTGTCAACACTTATGGACACGTTACGATTTATTTTTGCCAGTAGAATTATTACCACGACATACTGTATGTTGGCAGTGCCAGTTACTATGGCAATGAAAACAAGTTACCATGGAATCAGAATCATTTGTCTTAAAACATTTCTCATATATTTACATACTGTACTGTAAAGTCATCTTGACTTGAAATTTAACAATAACATACAAGATAGTGACATTTTGTCATGATAATACCTGTATTGTTCATTCAAGCAGCCCAGAGGAGAATTGTGAATGATGTCCAGGTATTCACCTCTATTGATTTAACTATTTGTACAGCTTCAAAAAACACGTAGGGCATAATACATAGAGGTTATAACATAGAAACAAGCCATGCTTAGCTATAGGGTGTCCCAAATGATACAGGATTGTCGCTGCAACGTTTGGTTGTGGTGCGCGTTATTAAATGTGGAAATCGCGATTTTATACGTTAGTTAATAAGTAACTGCTTTATAAATGTTATCACTACTATATAGCATTAGACTGATATAGTAAGTATACTGCACTAAGGATGTTAAATTCACTCTTATAGATACTGCGAAAAAATTTATTAAGTGACGATAAGACAAATCAATGTACATTTAGACAATCATAAACCAAGTTGTAACAGCGTTTGATTTAAAGGTGAATCGAGAGTATACTTGAAGAGTGCAACAAAGTATCAGGAAATTGTATATGATGATCTCATTTGGAATAAAAGTATTTATAGTGGTCCATTTGGCTGTATTTGTTCAATGTCAAACGGAACTAACAATCGCTGGCCTATTTACTGAAGTCTCGAACACAAGTTCTACCTTCAGACAAGCAATAGTACATGCAGCTGCAATAGCAATTGATGATGTAAACAACAAAGGAGATTTGTTACCTGGTTATACACTAAAGTTACAATACAAGTCAACCCAGGTATGTCTGACAAAATCCTTTCCTTGGCAATATCCCTACATGTCCTTCACCCTGCTCCCTTCATTTTCTGTCCACATCATTTAGCTACATCAGTTCTAACATCTTCATTTGCGTTATAGTCAGCCACACACTTATTAAACTCACGTAGTATATTTGCACATTTTAATCACTTTTATTACATAACAATACATAGTATAGTATAACTCTTACCTATCACACTCTAAAAGTCTTTTTGAACACTGTCCAAACAATGTTTGTAAAAGTCACTTCGGTTTTTAGAACAGATTTTATCTAGTAAAGTTCAAAACAGATATATTTCAGGAGTTGTGTTCTGGAATCGAGGTATTTCTAAATTGAGTTTGAAGCATAATATGATAAAATTAATGTGACAATGTTGACACATGAATTAAAAAGGGGTGACTTTTCGTGATTGCAATAAGGTTTCTCTTAGGTTTAAGATAATTAGAAATATTTATTTTTGCCATAAAGCAATGTGGCTTTTTTCAGTTTCAGAAAAATGCTCATCGCTATTGAAACACTCATATGAATAATATGAATAATGAGCTTTGTAATTGTGGTTAGTTTATTTTGCTTTTTATTGTTTTTAATATATTTTCATAACACGCGGTATATGGTATAAAGAGTATTCAACAATAATAGTATAAATGTAAATCTTAACGTATAAACATTAAAATAACATTTTTGCCAAGCCTCGATCATGAATTTACAAAGTTTTTTTAAGTATAGTTTTCAAAACTGAAACACCTTTCACAACTTAATTACAATAATAAGAAATAAAGATTTGTTCTTGAGAGCACGTAACAGATGCATTACTTCCGTTAACTCAACAAGGTAAAATAAATAATCCATTGAAAAAGTACTAACTTTCTGTCTTTGACCACAACAATCTCGCATTTCACGTATACAACAATCGATAGATCAATTGATCTTTCAAATTTCCCATTACAAGACAAGTTCACAAAAGGGATTAGACTAAAGCGAGTAGACTAAAACAAAGCTAAAAGTAAACAGATCTAAAAGTAAAATGAGTCATGAATGAAAACAAGCCCAAAATCTCCAAAACGATAATCTTAAGTACAAAGTGTGAATCTCTATTACCCTCTCCAGTCTCCACACCAATAATGTATAAATTCAATAACACACGACCATGGAATATTTCATTGAAATTGAAGCCTTTTACAATGTTTGTTGAGATTAGTACTAAAATTGATAACAAATACTCTTGACCTCAAAAAGGTTGTATGTACCAGTATGCATACAAGATGCAGTCTCAAATGATGTGGGATACACAAAATCCAGTTCATAAGAGTATCAAAGCTCACTCCCTGGTTCATAAAACACAATATTTCACAATGGTCATCAGGAGAAAAATATGGCTATGTGAGTATGTGAATCATTCAATATAACATCCTTGAGTCTAAGCTGCATTTGCAAAAAATGTGTGATTAGATCGGTATATTAACGAAATCTGTTAATGTAGTTGCTTTTCAGGTAGATGAACAGCTTGTAGCGGAACGCATGTGTTTATATTTATTGTAATTAAAGAAAATTACAAGGTCAAGTAATTCGTTAATCATAATCTTATTTTGTCCTCTTTTTTATCAACGAGGCTGTAAAGTATGGCGTTTTCTTGAAATTGAGTGCAATTATCTTTATTAAAAATGAAATCGCTAATATTTCAGTTTAATATATTCAATAGCAACACACAAAGTACACATACTTCTCTTGTGTGCAAATGTTATATGGTCAGTGTTTTTAAAATTTTCGCACAAAATTACGAAATGAGTTAATGATATTTCCCTAACTCTTTGTATAACTTATTTCAACAGTTACGTTTTTAACCTAAACAGGATCTCCTCCAAATCCGTTGATCTTTATTCAATCACTATGTTGTAGGGGTTTGTCGGGCCAGCATTGAATAGTCTTTTTGAGTATCTCTATGCTCCAGATTTGAAAACTGGAAATGCAAGTATCATGGTGCTTGGACCGTTCTACTCTAACCCATCCCTCGCAACGGCAGATGTCACATCATCTGCGGCATGGGGTGTTGTTCAAGTGAGTACCACACAGTTAATGTTTATTCTATCTTGAAAATATCATCTGGATTGTAAAGTGTTCATAATGAGACCATTGTATGTTCTTTATTTCAGATCTCATTTCAAATGTAACTGTGATTGTCTAAAAAAATGTTATATGGTCATCATTATCAATAGTAGCTTGTCTATAAAATCTTCGCACAAAAATAACGAACTGAGTTTAAGATGTTTCCCTTTGCCTTTGTATAACATATTTCAACAGTCCTGAAGTCCGATCCTAAACATGATTTAACATTCACGTCTAATCGTAGCTTTTTTATTTTCAATTGCTTTTGACCAGGTTTCTATGGGCGCAACATCGCCACGTTTAAGCAACAATAGGAGATACCCATTGTTTTTCCGCACTTGCGGCACTGACAGTGCATTCAACCCACTGCGTTTGAAGTTACTTAATGACTTCAACTGGAGGAAGGTTGCCATGATTTCCCAACTTACAGAACCTCTTATAACAGTAAGTTTATATCAGAGCTGAATTGAATATGACCAACAATTTCAATACATCCATTCATACACCAAACATGTCTTGTTTCAATTTCCAATTCAGTGTTTCTAAATCTCATTGATAACTATTTCCTATCTTTGGCTTATCACTTGGGCTGTTTCTTTACAGCCATGTATATTATTAAATTAAATGACTTTCATGTGTGGCTCGATATCTTCTTTGGTTTCACAACATCCCTGATTTGAAGGAGTTTATGCTTTTTGTGTTGTGAATACTAATGGCTATACTGTTTGAATTTATACTTTTTCAACAGGTGGGAAATCAGATGAACGACCTAATGTCATCAAATGGAACTCGAGTTCTTACGACTGAAACTTTTGACAAAGATATGACGAATGTCATGAATGAAATACAAGCATCCAATGCAAGGATACTTTTATCAAACTTGTTTTCATTTGCGCAGACAAGAGCATATTGCGAAGCATATCATAGAGGAATGTATGGGCCAAAATTCTTATGGATAAGCGTTGGCCCTGAGTTCAAAACTGTTGACGAAAATTTAGGTCAAACAAATTGCACAAAAGAACAGATTTTTAGATCGTCGAATGGTTCTTTACTTTTATTCTATCTCAACAAAGAAGTCAATGTAGATAATACTGATTCTGGACGGACTTTGGATAGTTTCCACACTGAGTTGATCAAACGCATGAATGGTGCTGACTATAGGGATAAATTCAGAGATTACTACGTCAAAGAAACTTACGATGCAGCGTGGTCTATAGGAAAAGCTTTGCACGCAAGTCAACAAAGTATACTTCCGAAGAAACTAGAAGAGTTTAAATACAAAGACCCATCGATGTCTAGTAAATTTGCAGAAGCATTTAAAAACTTGCATTTCAAAGGTCTGTCGGTAGGTAGGATTTTATTAGACTTTATTTCACTCTATTGAGGTAAATACCTGTGCATCTTTTACAGAGAAGCTCTGTTTAAGAAATAACTTTGAAAATGGCCACTAAATTCAAAATGGCCCCATTCTTCGCCAGTTATCGCTATAATTATGGTATACTGTTAATATTATATTTATTAATATTTTTATTAAAATAGTTCATTATAGTGTCACTGGTTTACATTTGGTACAAATAAATACGTATTCTAGAAAAAGTGTCGGCTTATGAGACACTGGACTTTAAAGATCAATAATAACAATGTTTATATAGATATGACATTCAACAATAAAACTAAAATTCATCTACAAGTACAATAATGCATAGATTGATAAATAGCAATAATTCCATCTATAAATGATGATAAATGATTTACATGTAATCTTATAAGATAATGACTAGATTATTGACTACAAAATGGTATGGAGGTTTGGCCCTCATTCCAATGAATACGGTACATAGGAATAATATGGCAGTCAAACTTTCCAGGTCAAATTGCCTTTTCATAAACATTTTGTATAACAGAGCAGCCCACTGTCTCTGAATTGATATTGAATGCATTAGGCTTATAAATAAAAGTAATTCATTGTCAGTTCTTATATGTTGTGTTAAGATATCAGTTACAGTTCTATGAAAATGTGTTCTCAAGTTGGAATAATGTTTACATTGGACAGCAAAATGAATTTCATCTTCAACAAAGTTACCATCACATAATTTACATGTACGATCATCCAGTGCTGTATTCAGGTGACCAACGACTTGTCTCAATGTGAAGTGGGAGGCTACCTGTTCTCAGTCTAGCAAGAATGGTTCTGTGGTGCCTTGGAATGTATTCAGATACATATGGTTCATTAACTACTCCATATTTAAACAATCTGTATGTTCGAAGCTTATTGCCACTCTATAAATTATTTGTATCATCCCAAATGTTTTTTAAGAAGGGGTCTTTTGCATCGAAACTATCCTGTAAACGTTTTTCATATATTCATCAATACCTGGATCAAGAGGTTTTTCTTTGGTTGGTCTATATATCACGGACATGTGGTCAATTCGGTGAAACATTTGTAGAGAAAGTGTGATTACAAGACAATTAACTTTTTCAATTAGTCTTGAGTAGGAGTAAGATTTGTCATCAAATGATTCGAGATCAATTTGTTGTGGTTCGTTTAAAGGTCTTCTTTGTATTATGTTTCATGATATCCAGGTTATAACTTCACAATTATTGTATCCAAATGTCAAATGAGATCTTATTTCAAATTCATTATTATTTTAGATTAAGACAATAGGATATCCTCTACTCTAGTCCTATTCTTAGCAAAAACAGATATGTAACTTGAAAAATAATCTGGAACACATACTCAATGCAGGTGCTTTAAAGACTGTAATAACTTTCATGTGATTTTAATGGAATATTCGAGCATTGGATAAATCACAACGTATTGTTTGGGTTAAAGTGGAAAAGCGTCTGGATTTATTCAAAACCACAGACCTCAAATAATCTCTCCGGAAAATTAATTTCCATTCAAAATCATTAGTATGTAGAACTTAGAATGTAAGTTATTGTGTAGTTGTTTTGAAATTAGTTTGCTGTGCTTTTGTGCCACCCTGTATGATACATTTTTTAAATAATGCTAATTAATGATAGTGAATATCTGTTTTAGGGACCAGTTTCATTCGAAAACAATGGGGATCGCATAGGACGGCTACAAATCGACCAATTAGTAGGTAACTATACCTTCACAAATATAAAACGTATACGAAACATTCATAATATTTTATTGAGAAAAAAATAGAACCTCAGATGAAGAACCTGTTGATATATGGCATCCTAGGCATTTGAAGTTGATAACATGTTGAAACATCTTCATGTATTTTTAGTAAGATATGTCAAAATTAGCAGAAAACAGATAATTATCCTTAATAAGAGTATGTTAACCTTTCAATAGGTCCACTTCAAAGTAGTATTCTGTGAGGTTTAGCAACACACTTCAAATCAGTCTTTTTGGAAAGTTTAGCAACACGTTTTAGGTTGTGTGTGATAGTTAGCTCACATGGTGAGCTATTGCAATCACTCACTTGTCCGTCTGTCTGTCAACAATTGGCCGGTTTTAAAACCTCTGTCAATAGGATTCCTGTTTAAGTTATTTTTGTTCAACATCAATATAGAAAAAACCTATGACTCCTGGTTCAAAAGCTCGCCTATTTTCAAAATGGCCGCCATTTCGTCTCACGAAATTCACTTTTGGACCATTTGCTTTAAAACCTCTGTCGATAGGATTCCTGTTTTAAGTTATTTCTGTTCAACATCAATACAGAAAACCCCCCTATGACTCCTGGTTCAAAAGCTCGCCTATTTTCAAAATGGCCGCCATTTCGTCTCACGAAATTCACTTTTGGACCATTTGCTTTAAAACCTCTGTCGATAGGATTCCTGTTTTAAGTTATTTCTGTTCAACATCAATACAGAAAACTCCCCTATGACTCCTGGTTCAAAAGCTCGCCTATTTTCAAAATGGCCGTCACTTTTGTCTCGCGAAATTCACTTTTAGCCCATTTCCTAGCTAACCTCTGTCGATAGGATTCCTGTTTTAAGTTATTTCTGTTCAACATCAATACAGAAAACCCCCCTATGACTCCTGGTTCAAAAGCTCGCCTATTTTCAAAATGGCCGCCATTTCGTCTCGCGAGATCCACTTTTGGACCATTTGCCTTAAAACCTCTGTCGATAGGATTCCCGTTTTAAGTTATTTTTATTCAACATCAATACAGAAAACTCCCCTATGACTCCTGGTTCAAAAGCTCGCCTATTTTCAAAATGGTCGTCATTTTTGTCTCGCGAAATTCACTTTTGGCCCATGACCTAGGTTATTGCAGCAGCAAAGAATCCAAGGGGACAGAGAGACATCATCGGAGATGTAGTACGTGCGATGAGATCTCGGGCAGACATTTGCATTAAAAGGAATGGGAGTCATGAAAGCAGCTGCTGGCTTATACTATAAATAATATCATTCAAATAATGGGTTAGAACGTGCAGAATTCTTAAAGATCGGTAATATCGCGCAAGAACAGACGCTGTATTTCTGAGTAATCGCATTTGAATAATGATCACACTTTTGAATTTCATCACTAACAATATCTGTAATTCTGCACTTGGTTTAACCGGTAGATTATATAAATTATTTGCAAAATCCACTTATGTTTGGGTTCAGTTGTACACTGGGATGTCTAGATACAATTAAAAGCCCAATCATGGGTATCACGGGGTGTCCGACCCTTGCAGATGACCTGACTTTAATCGCCACCTCGAAAGGTCATTTAAAAACACTTATTGAAAATACCATGAAGTAAGCTAACAAATGGAGATTCAAGTCCAGCCTTCAAAAAAGTACAATCATGACATTAGGTGAATCTCTACAAACACATTCGAAACTTAAGAAAGATTTGTATTTCTTACCAGACTACATTTAAATGAGACGTCCCCTTCTATGAAGGGGTTTATTCCTGATATTGACAGAATATTGAATAAATACAGCCTAGATTCATTACGCGAATACTTAGTTAGTAGGTATTTTCCTCCACTAATAATTTAGAAAAAAATCGTAAAACATGCAATAAATTAAGTACAAAACTCCGAATGTCAAGACAGAACTGCTAATGATGTTAGTTTTAGTCGACTGAGACAAATACAAGATTCAATAGAATCGTGTATACTTTGGAAACACTCAGTCTGCTAAAGTTTGCCACCGTAGCTTCAAAACTATTAACAATGTGAGCACTGTGGCATGCTAACTCCGGATTCGGTTTCACATGGATTGTTGGACTGTTCTAAAACTGAAGATGCTCGCAATGAGATAATGAAGTGAACATAAATGAAGTGATGTATTGAACCTTAACAGAATCGGGCTTAAGATAGAGTTGTTCAAAAAGGATTTTCGAGAAAACCCCTTCTGTGTGTCAGTGAAAGGCCTCTCCAGCTTATGTTTTACAGACAATTCAAAGGTCTTGGCAATTCTACTACCTTTTACTTGTGTACTGTTGTGGAACTTTTAAATATTGATCTTACCACTCCATTTGCAATGCAAATATTGTTTAGAAATGTGACTTCCACCACTTTTTGTGATTTTTTAATAGATGTGTTCTTACTTGTCCTTGACATTTTAGATGTGAATTATTTTTTGTGTTTTTGTTATTGTCTTATTTTGGTTATTTTTGGATCTTGTGGTTCTGACAAATACATGTTTAATTTCTTCAATAAATATTTCAGCAACATACAATTATATAATAGGCCAGATTAAAGCACCGCTGCAAGGATGACAATAATACTAAAAGGTCAAAATAATCATACAAGTATCATATTTTCAGATGGAGTGAGAAAGCCGGTGGGTATATATGACGAAAAAACTAAAGCTATAAATTGGTTGGTCACACAAAAAGAACTATGGGAGCCGAAGGGTAAGGGTACAGTGATGCCAATATGGTGTGTAGTTTCATTATTTATATCCATTTTATTCAAATCATATGACTTATTGGCTATCTTCTACTGTTTAGGATACTGGGGATTTACTTTTTAATATTTCTTGGTCTTTACATTATTATCATGTCACCTGTGCTTGTATATGTATTACGCGTATTTTCGTAGTATGAGTTCTTCACCGCGTATGCATGCTGGGGGAATACTAAGTAACAAAAAAGCTCTTAACCCTATCAATCCTTTATAAGTCCATATGAAAAAAGTAAAACTCTTCAAAAATCCAAAAGCCATCCAAACATTCAAAAGTTAAACCTTTGGTGTTTGTGTTTTAATTATGATGAAAATATCAATTTTATAAGTCATTTGAAACATATTATTTTAGGAGGGCGTCAACCACTCGATGGGGACCTAAGCAGAGTAGAAATTGTTGGTATTGATAAAGCTCTTCGATATGTATTTGCCTTCTTTGCGGCAATGAATATTATTCTCGCAACAATACTTGTTGTGTTTGAATGGACGTATAGAGGATCCAGGTAAGAACGTAATTCTCCAGTATGAATACGCAATACCTTTGTGTTTTTTTGGGATTGAAAAAATGATTCCTGTATGCCGAGGGGTCAGGCGCTGTTAGAAAATATTTCTATGCACGCTAGCTTCTCGTAGTTGACATACTGGGGTATGCTGTACTTATGACTGATTGTGTTTTAGGAACAATGGCGTAAAGGTTTGCATTTTATCGTCATTTGTATGTACTGTATATATGAGATATGAATTTAAAATGAGGACACTTGTGTCGATATCGCACGTGAAATAAAGTTCAAATCATAATTTATTTTAAGACAAACAAATTGTCAAGAGTGGGTTATGATGTCCTGTATTATTTTTATCTAAAATAAAAAAATAAAAAGAATATATTGGTAACCCATTTACCATATTCTTTTATCCATTCAGTGATAAAAAGAATACATTGGTAACCCATTTACCATATTCTTTTATCCATTCAGTGATACCTGAGAAGGGATGTGTGTCAATCACTCGTATCAGACTTTACTTAAAAGTGTAGTTTGTTCTTTCAGAGTTGATAGATATACCATGCCTGTTATGAACGGGCTGTTGGCATTTGGAGCAGTCATTCTCAACATTGCTGTCATCGTCCAGGGTTTTGATATGACGCTACTTAAAAATCGACACAATTACTTACAAACGTGTCAGGTATTAATCTATTTTATAAATGCTTAAAATTACGTTGAGTAACTGTGATTAAATCATTACTGGTTACCGAGGCCTAATTTGTATGCAATGTATGACTCGTTCACTAATCGTCCGACAAATGACACGTCATTCTGTCAGGATTCGGACAAGATTGCCACTTCCAGCATGCTACCCAATAAAAGAACTAGGTCAGTACGACTAATCGATATAACTTGTCTGAATTTAAATGGGATTTTTCAACGCGACTTGTCATTTCTTTCTTTTTCGTTTGCTTGCAATTGCGGAATTGATCTTGAGATTAATTGGCATTGAAGTTACATGAGAGGAATTCTGGTAATAGATATGGTTGAGGAATAGGGATGGAACCATCCTTATATAGGGCGCAATGGCTTTCTTGCCTTTTGACACTCTGAAGGATTCATAGATTTTATCTGTCCCACATCATGTGCGACAGAATGATCTATCTTATTATATCTTAATCTAGACAGTCTGTAGCCAGCTTTCGCCAAGGGAAGGGGGCTACTTTTCAAAAATTCCATTGGGGATCTTTTGACAACTTCGACCCAAAATCACAGAATTACAAAATCACGGAATCTCAGAATGGTGAAAAACTGCATGCTTTTGAAAGAACCTTTGGAATCTAGTGCTCGCTCGAATTTTGGTTTTATTTCCAACTGTTCTGTTATGTCAGCTTGAAGTTAAACATTATTGTTGTCAATTAACATGCGTCCTGTTTCAGTTATTAGAATTATGACCAATATCCCCTCTTATCAACTCGTGTCCAGTTCGATTTCAGTTGGGACCAATAAAATATCGATTTGGACCTCATATTCCATCTGTTTCAGCTTGGCTTATGGTTCACTGCTATGGGCTTTACTATGTTTTATGCATCTATGGTTGTCACCATGTATGTAACATACAAACACCATAGAGATCGAACCCCACCAAAGGTATGTAGCGAAAAAAGTATTTAAGGCTAACTATTTATAAATCCAAAAGATATACGGAAAACAATTAAAATTTGCCATTTTAACGTGTTCTACCAATTTACTCAAATATTGTCATTCAATATCTTTTTTGAACAAAACATTCTGTAGTTTGACTGATTAAAGAATGCCTTAAATGTTGCATAAATCAACTGGATTTTAGAAATATTCAGTTGATTTACGCAACATCGCTGAAGTATTTATCTGTATTCCGTACAGACAAATTGTGATCGATGCGAGATTAGCTGATTGATTACCAATCAATTAGATAGATCAATGTAGAATGACAGTTATGTATTACTATCTTTCTAGCGGAACACATCTGATGCTTTATTTGCACGGGGTGTTTCATTAAGTCAATTGAGATCTTCTTTATGAGTACATTGTACTATTAGTCGAATCCTTGGGGATTTGCAATGAGACGGGAGCCAATCATAACTAGGTGACTTAATCTGATCTTGTCGTTTCATTCGACTCAGGTTTCATACAGTGTAATAGAGTACAATGTACACTCCTCTGTACCTAGGTGAGAATTGCATTGTCTTTTTATTAGAAACAATTTAATCCCATTTTACGTATGTTTTATAAAAGAATGCATTTTAGGTGAAGTTTGATTGGAGGCCAGTTGGTGTGTATGGTATCTTAAATCTAGTGGTTATTTTTATATTGGTGCTCTGGAAGGTAACAGACACGTTTGTGCTCAAGGAAGAACAATTGGACGAAAAGGCAAGTAATATGCACACTATGTGCTTTATCCTATTATGCACTAGTACTTTATTTCCTTGTTTTTCACATTAAACATTAAAAATTCCCGATATCATTCAACGAAATATTCAAATGTTTCTTGAAATAGGCATTTTGGGTTTGACAAAACTATAAAATGTAGTGTCAGCTCACTAGCTTTTGTATTTTAAGGTCATGTTAAGCTTCTAGAAAAAGTATAGTCTGTTGTACTTTTGGATCTGAACAATATTGTAACGAGATTGTAAGATGTAAAGAGTCAAACCGACCCACTCAACAAAAATAACCCAATTTTACAATGAATGTAATGCATAATAATCCACAATTTGCACCTTTAACATCAAGTATAAATAATTCAAATAATTTTAGACAAGAGATAAATTGAGAAAAGGAAACTCAGAAGTGAGCTTTGGTTCGTCTACAACACTACCCTCCCCTAAGAGGAGGGTAAGCCCCAGAGCTTTAGCGATGACTGACATAATACGTCTCTTGCGTACCACCTTCGTTTGCGCAAATTCTCATCAGTTAATTTTCGAACATAGCGCGTCGTCGTGATGTTTTAATCGATTTAAACGTATTCCTTACATATTTCTTTATCTTGATGTGAAAAACCAGGATATGATATTGGTTAATACGCCAGGAATCAACGTAACATTATTCGAAGCGTTATTAGAAAATTTTGAATCCGCCATTTTTGTTTATCGATTTGGACCAATCAGAGCTGTATGTCATCTCAATACAGGTTTACATTATAAGCGTATGTCATCTTTGAACCCTGGTGTTATTCCCCCTCTGTCCTCCCCTACAAAATTTTTGCAGCCGGAAGCTACCTTTTGGATCACGTGTTAAAGCCTGTTTGGTTGGCGATTTCAAAAAGTCACATAATCCAAACCTATTATTATTGAGGCACAACAATTATCCATGGGGACATCCAGTTGCAAAACTTATGGAGGAGTAACTGTTAATGTTACTTAAGTTATGGAAGAGTAACTGTTATATTGGTTTGCAGTATGATGATGCTACACAAACTATCACACATTACAACACTCAATACTGCACATCATCGAGGGCAATATATTGGCAAGTGGCGCTAGCTTTCTTTGAGGGACTTCTCATCTTCTCAGGAACGTTCTTTGCATGGCCAGCAATGTAAGTAGTTTTTCAAAATTGCGTATATTCGTGTATCTTTGGCTCGAGCGGTAGATCGGCAGACTTTGGAGCAGAAGATCCTGGGTTCGATTCCCACGGGGCTTTGTATTTAGCACACTCCCTTTCATGTCTTGTACAGCTTCCCGGACGAGCGTACCCAGGGTCGTTACACTCTATAGACAATAATCTGGTTATAAAGGCGTTATTATTAAGATGCGGGTATAATGAAAATAAAAATGTCGACGGAAGTTCATCCATTCCCTTACAAAGACGTAACGCGAGCCTCTATTCATTTTTGTAATGGCTTAAAATTGATACTTATGTGATAAGCTGCTGAATCGGGGCTTTTCTCTTTTCTAATGATAAGATGTCCTATACCTTTTATGCTCTTTGATATTTCGTTTTAATTCTGTTTCTGTCACTATTTTGATGTTCAGATTATCTGCACGTGGTTCTTTCACTGACGTACACTTCCTGGCTATAGCCGTTTTCGTGATCCTGTTACTTACGATGATAGGGGGACCTGTCATGCTCTTACTTAACTCAACGCCATCTATTGAGTATGGCACAACTGCAGCCTTCATATTGACGGGTGTAGCACTAACCTTATGCATACTTATAGCATCAAAGGTAAATTTTGTTTAGATGTATTGTTTCTTAGAGGGACGAAACTAATCCAATGTATAAAAACACAAACTACGATAGACTAGATGCAGGTAGAAATAATCGTGATTTATGTCATTAAATATTCCAAATTCAGTCAAAGTGGCGTCATATTTGAAATGTTCATTTAAAATTACATCAAATTGGTAACTACCTACTCGCATCTGATGTATATGTATATCTAACGTATTTTATTTATGTACACTTTTAATACGTCGTATTTGGTGTCGTTATAAAGGCAATGTTGATGACGACGCTATCATTGCTTACGTTAAAATTAATTGCATTGTTTCATATTGGCGATCACCTTTCTTCTAGATTGTAACAAAACGTCAACGAGAGAAAGCCAGCGCTCCAGTTGAGCCACTATCTGTCATTGTGAGAGACCTGCCTCAGATGGGAGCTAGAACTAACGACGCAATGGAAGAACTGCAGTCAGCAGAAGCTGATGCCGGTGTGGGCAGTACGCTGGAACTAGTCGATAATGACGCTATCACTTTACAACGAAATACTCTGCAGTTTAAGGACTGAAACATGTTGTATTTTTTGTTATCAAACTACATAGACTTCTTTGGTCGAAGTCTGCTATTGCACTGAATACAAATCACAATTTAAAACAACATACACAAAGAGGGTAAAATTAATTGAATTATATTAATGTATTCCACAATGTTTTGTACATTATTATGGAGGTAATTTTATAATAAAGATGTTGAATACAAATATGCTGATGTGCACTTTTCGAAATTCAAATATACAAGGTTTCAAAGTTTTTTAAAGTCCCCATATAAAGTTTAAACCACTTTGACTTATATTGTAGTCTTACCTAATGTTATCAAAGTCTGATATGTGAAACTTTTTATTTTAATTTCAAAAAGTGGTTCCTGAAGGACTTTTTGTTCGAAAATCGTGAATTTCTACTTTTAGAGGTTACACATATCTTTTAATAAGCGATAATTCATACCAATGCACAGCATTCATCCTCACGTGTTTTTGCCGAAAAAAAATAAGAAAATTGGTTCATAAATAAGCAAGAAATGAACTCATCAATCCATGAAAATAGTTCAGAGAAAAATGCATTTCAAAATTTTAGTTCTCATAGAAACCGATGGTACAATAATATCTAAAACATAATATATTCTTCCTTTTAACCTTTTGAAGTTTAGCGCATTTAGAAAAGATTGACATAGAAAAAATATTTTCATTTTTTCAAAAAAAAATTGTCACCTGAGTGAGGCATCGATGACATCACTCAGGTTGCAAAATAATTTTGATATGCTAAAACATTGAAGTGGCACATTAGATATGGCATTTTATTATTGAAATGGTGTCCTTTGTTTAATCTTTGCATAGGTGCTTTTGAAATGTATGGTGGAATATTTGATGATTAAAAAATTTCAACTTTTTTTTTAAAATGGCGGGAAATTTGAATATTTGAGAAATGAAAAGCCGACAACTTTTTTTCCAAAATATTTCTTTTCAAAAAATCTCTAAATAACTTTTAAAGTCATGATAAATAGTAAACGAATGATAAAAACATATTTTCAAACATTACACGGGGACTTTAAGATTCTGGGATGATTAACGGAAAATTTGTTTCTATAATAACTTGCATTGCACATTATGGTAAGAGAACAATGAACTTTAAGAATCCATCGATTACCCAAATGCGAGTAGGTAGTTACCAGTTTCACTACCAGGTGGCTGATTCGGGTTAATTAACATGGCAGGTATACAAGAAAGTTCCCTTAAACTTGAATATTATCAACTTAAGTGGCTCAATTTTCATATAACCCTTATGCGTCTGATACTTATACTAATGAAAATATGTCCAGTAAAGCAAAATATTATCTGTCCACTAATAGAAAAGATATTTCATTTTTAGTGATTTTATAGCATGGGGTCTAAGGGGAATCTCCCCGAGCTAGAAGTCACATTTTCAAAGAAAATTAATTTTTCAAAGTTGATTAACACTTTTTAAAACCACATTTCTAGATGTAATTTTAGATGTAGATTTCAAATATGATATTATTTTGACTGAATTTTGAATTTTTAATGACGTAAATCAAGATTATTTCTACTCGCATCTGGGTTATTAAAAACAATAATACAAATGTATACTCTTCTTTTGTTACTGTGCATTCTTTAAAATAAAACTATTTATTATTCTGTGTTGCTACCTAAAGTATTGAATTATCTAACTTACAAATTATCTTTCATGTTCAATGTGTTCACTGTACCTCCAGGACTGTTGTATGTCGTGCAATACAGAAACTGAGCTAATTACACACTCATCAATTTAGTTACACTCCCCTCCATAAGTTTGGCAACCTTTTTCCCCCATTGAACTACGTGTTAAAGCCTCTTTACATTTGAATTTTTATTTACTTAACCTGCGATGAAAATACTTATACTATTGATGGAAACGTAATTTAACTTCAATTCCAAAACCTCCAAATTTTCTCAATTTTTTCCTCAATTACAATAGGTTGAAAATTGTCAAAGTCAAAATTGTTTTTCAAAAAACCTCTCCCATTGAAATAACACAGGAGGCGAAAAATGATTTTCAAAAATGATTTTGAAGCGCTGTAACTTTAATATTCATCAAATAAACTAAACACTTAGTGTTCAAAAAAGTTAGACAATTCAATTTTCTATATAAAAATATTTTTTGCTGAATCTTTTACTAAAAAGATATCCTGATTTCTGATTTGCCCCGAACCCTCCATTTCCCATTGGATTACATGAGAATGACGATTTTCAAAAATTCATCAAATTTATCATCAATTTTCGACCTATTGTAATTGAAGACAAAAATTGAGAAAATTTGGAGGTATTGGAAATAAAGTCAAGTTACGTTTCCATCAATATCATAAGTTATTTCATTGCCGGTTAAGTAAATAAAAATTCAAACGTAAAGAGGCTTTAACACGTAGTTCAATGGAGAAAAAGGGTTGCCAAACTTATGGAGTGGAGTGTACCTATAATATCAATAGTTGAATAGTCAATACAAAATAAATCAAACGTTACTGTTGAATAGTAAAGTGGAAGCCTAAATGCACTATGGACCATTTAGGTTTCATAAGAGTTACAGAAAACAGACGACAAAAACATCGTTTTCACAAACAAGTACAAAGATTAATATTGGCACTACTATAATCCTATATTTATCGAACAGAAAAATCTAAAAGTAGGTCACGTTGACCTTCTTCGACAAAGTGACCTACTTTTAGATTTTTCTGTTTAATAAATAAACGATATGTTGTCAAGGTGACCGAATCAAGCTACTTAAACCACTTTCCTTTATTGAAAGCTATCGCTTTACAAGCAAAATGTGTACCTCAAAATAAGCACCTTCTTAAAGTGACTTGCATCCTCCGTCCTATCTGTTTTAGGATATGGGATTGTAGACCGTCATGCCAATAGAGACATTTCGCAACTCACTTAACGTTTCATTACGTCATCACTTATTGCGCAGCTCAATATGTCCATAAGAATGACATTCTTGTAAATCGACTATACGTTAGAATATCACACGTATGGATGTATAGAGCTGCACAATAAATGTTGACGTAATCAAACGCTTCATAAGTTGTACGTTATGCGGGAATTATGAACATGCTATAAGTGAGTTGCGAAATTTCTACAATATTAATCTTAAGATAACTTACCACGAACATTGCCTTGTGCTCCACTACAGAACCTTAAATGACAAGGGAAAATTCCCTCTCAGCTCATATTATTTTTAGATAATTGCTATCCATAATGTCATTGTTATCCATATTATTTGAGATATATGAGATACATAGAGATTATCCTATATGAGGTTCAGGGTATCGGGATTATCCCAAGGTAAATATAATATATTTGCCCGAGGGCCGCAGGTCCCGGGGGGAAAATATATCATATTGGTCAAGGGATAATCCCAATATCCTGAACCGACTATAGGATAATATGATTACCCCATACAAATCTTGGTCATCTGGTTCACATTGTTCAATCGTGGAAATATTTAAGAATATTCATTTCCAATTTTGTTTTCTTGGCCGTGGGCGGACTTTCCTGTTCTCTCAAATATTCCCACATTTATTTTCTCGAATTGATTAAGTGGACGCTCCTTCCCTTTTTAAACCATCAAACAGATCCCGATTGTCTGTGATTTCCCCATTGTCGTTTACAGTCATTACGCGTTTGTGGTGCTACAAACCGGATTAAAGCACATACATACATCTAGCATCGATTGCGTGGTATTTTTTAAACTGCATAAAAAATTTGTTTGACATCAGCTCTTAAAAGGGCGATGTTGGATGTGTGTTACCCATGCAATGAAATGTTTTTTCTATGCATATACCATTTGTCTAATATTTTGTATCCTCCAAGACACTGGTTAAATTAACATTGCTAGTGCATCATTTGTTAAGATTTCGCCAGAATGTGCCCTTAAGGCTTTCCTTTTAAATGACAGACAATGAAAACATCAGACAAAATATTGTAATTTTGTGGTGAATTTAGGTTTTGCTGTCCAATATTTTGTATCCTCCAAACATTAAGATTTTTATCCATGCACATAAATGATTTCAAACAATTATTTCCAGATAAAAGACGAATTCAATGTAGTATTTAAATGATTGTTACATAAATTCTCAATTACACTCCCCTCCATAAGTTTGGCAACCTTTTTCCCCCATTGAACTACGTGTTAAAGCCTCTTTACGTTTGAATTTTTATTTACTTAACCGGCGATGAAATAACTTATAATATTGATGGAAACGTACTTGACTTTATTTCCAATACCTCCAAATTTTCTCAATTTTTTTCCTCAATTACAATAGGTCGAAAATTGATTATAAATTTGATGAATTTTTGAAAATCGTCATTCCCATGTATTCCAATGGGAAATGATGGTTCAGGGCAAATCAGAAATCAGGATATCTTTTCAGTAAAATATTCAGCAAAAAATATTTTTATATAGAAAATTGAATTGTCTAACTTTTTGAACACTAAGTGTTTAGTTTATTTGATGAATATTAAAGTTACAGCGCTTCAAAGTCATTTTTGAAAATAATTTTCCGCCTCCTGTGTTATTTCAATTGGAGAGGTTTTTTGAAAAACAATTTTGACTTTAAAGCCCTATAACTTTGTTGAACCTGAAGAAACATATCAATTTTTTGTTAAATAAAGTTAGCAAATTCAATTACCTGCCTAACTCGTATTTTTTGCAAGGACTCGGATGGATGGATATTCTGTCATATGACTTGCGGCAAACCTACCATTTCCCATTGGTTAACATGGGAATCTCGATTTTCAAAAATTCATCAAATTTATCATCAATTTTCGACCTATTGTAATTGAGAAAAAAAATTGAGAAAATTTGGAGGTATTGGAATTAAAGTCAAATTACGTTTCCATTAACATTTTAAGTATTTTCATCGCAGGTTAAGTAAATAAAAATTCAAAAGTAAAGAGGCTTTAACACGTAGTTCAATGGGGGAAAAAAGGTTGCCAAACTTATGGAGGGGAGTGTATATCTAATTTGTTAGTAGATTAAATATGTTGAGCATATGTTGGAGGATACAAAACATATGGACATTATAAAACGTGTTATTTTTAATGAGTATGAAACATCAAACAATCCTTTTTGAGAGCTGGTAGGAAACATATTTTATGAATCAGAATCCATCGATGGACTTGATGCGTAATTTGTTATGTTGTCCGAGTTTCCGTAGCGAAATTGTATTTTTGTCAAAAATCACCATTAAAGCTGTTTTTAAGAAATAATAAGCAATACTTTCAATATA